CTATTGTGACCCTACATTCTACACCTACTACATTTGTGAACTTGTTGAGACTCTCCGGATGAAGGTACAAACTCTTCGTAGATTGCAATCACCGAGAGTTTGAACTCTTCGTACAAACTTGTTGAGACCCTTCAGTTGTATCGAGCATTCGACGGTGTACAAAATCTCCGTAGATTTCTTCATGTGATATTCATAATTCAATCTCATTGCAAACACTGAGAGTTTGAACTGTAATTCTTCTTTCGATCAAAAAGTACTCCCTATCGCAATGTACTCAATTGACAAACCAACTTCATCCCCTATCCTTGTGAGTTCCTTGAGCAAGAAGCTTAACCAGTTGCACACGGTGCATTTGTACTGACCATGTGCACTCTGTTCAAGGGGTCTAAAGATGGAGCCGCTACATACTCTAGGTCTACTTCCGCCTCGTTCTCAACATCAACATCATTCTCGAACTCAGTATCGTGGTTCTCATCGTCCTCATCGTCATACTCTACGTGATTGTCATTATTATCGTTCCATTGACTACAATAGTTTGTTTCATCATCACCAAGTTACATGATGGACCAGCACCCAGGAGCTTGAAATCAAAAGGAACTGATGACACATAATAGGGAACGATTTGCCCTAATTGGTGAGGAAATGAATGGAATGCTTCAGTTCTTGGAATGATACGATTCTGTGAAGTGCTTCCACTACCGTGTCTTTGCTTCGGTACGACAGATATGTACAATGGGACTTCAAAAAGAGGTGGAGGCCATCTTAAAAAAAAATCTAAGTCTATGGTCATCGAATATATAATACTGTGGAACCTGGTACTGCAAATTGAACAAGTATACACAACGTATCAAGATGTTGAACTGGTCTGAATCTATTCAGGTAAGCCTGAACATAACATTTATGAGTTCGTTATATGTTATATTATCGTCCACATCTAAACCTCCCATAATCTCATCTTCATATATAGGTTGTGACTCATTCCACATACCATCATACCTAATAAAGAGACAAGGCATCTTGCATGACGAACGAACAATATTCTTAAAATCATAACAATATAAACAAGATTGACAGGCGAAATTAAAATAATTCACTGGCGAAATTAACATGATTCACGGGCGAAGTTAACTTAATTCACGGGCGAGAAATCTCGTGCAAAGTAGTATCCCTTCTAGCTCGTGATGCTTATCGTATACATCTCGAGCGTGAATACTTCCAACTTCACCCGAGAATCATAACAAATATCCCAATACCCAAGGGAAAAACAAAAAAACCCCCAATCCACTCTATGTTTCCACAAAAAAGGAAAACAAGAAAAAATGATAAAAAGGCAGAGACGCAAATGTGCTAGTTTATACACGAAAACAAAACATCGTTTCCAAAAGAAATATCACCTACCTCGTTGGTGTAGAAAAGATTTATTCAGCCACAAACTAGGTGCAGATGGAAGAGTTACTTTGAATGTACGATATTCTTTTTGTTGTCTCAAAGCTGAGTACAAAATGCACGGATGAAAAGTAAAGACTTTCCTAGGAATGGTTTGCTGAACAATAAACGTGTGAGAGTTAGGTGTTTTCCTTAATTGAAAAACTTCAATTCTCAGGCGGGACAATTACATTTAACAGCTGTGAAGTTAACGTAGGTCAACCACATTTCTCGCCAAATTCTCGCCCATCAATGACATTATGTTGTTATTTTTCACATGTTTCGCTCGAGAAAATGCCGATCTCGCCCGAGAAGTTAGTTTGTGAATGAGGGGTAGTTGGGTACATTTACTTCCACTGACACATTAGAAAAAGCAATAGTGGGTCATTCAAAACATTTTTTGAGGGGTGGGTTATTTGAGCAAAAAGTTTCCCCCAGAGGATTATATGTGTTAACATCCCCCGCACTCGCATGACTCCATATGAACGACCTAGATAGAGTCGTTTGTAACTATTATAAAGCGAGCCGTATCTATAGTGTTACTAGGATAAGGTACCTAATCTTATTCATGTATTATAGACCATTCAGGTTATTACTGAAACATTATCCACTTGTATATCGAATATATACTGTATATTTATTATATACAATATCAAATATATACACTATATATTCAATATATACCGTATATCAAATATATTCCATTCCAGTTACATTAAATAACATTGGATCTTAGTTTATTGGAATATGAGTAATGCAAAGAAATAATAAAATAACTTTTTATTGAATAAATAATTTGTTTATTAATAACAAACTCACGAGCTCAGGACACAAAACTCAATAATGTCAAGTTCACCGATGCAGTAATTCCAACAAAGCTCCCTTGAAAACACTATTGATACACTATTCTAGATTTGTTGTCATCTATCAATATAAAAATCCTTTATCATGTGCATATGTCCATTTTTATATGTTTATTTGAGTGAAAAGTCAATACAATCTGAACTCAATTCTTGTAACTATCTCATATATTTTTTAAATTTACGCTTTTAGTGTTGACACCCAACAAGATACACCAAATCTTTCAGAGGCTTTGATTTATATTTATTGTTCATGATGAAGACAAAATTGATGACGTGCTCTCGATTCACTCTAACCATTTTTCTTATTGTTCACAACTACCAAAATACCTCCATATCGATCAGAAATTAGATAAATATTATCTCATTCAGTAATGAAATTTTGCAAGGCACACAAAAACCATGACCAACTGAAAGTATTTTTCTCTCAAACAACAACAAAGGCAAGGGGGAATATATGCCAATTTGCATCAATTGAGGTGACAATAAGTAATTTTTCCTAATTCTTCCCATACAAGTATATACCATCAATCTGGATTAATGACCAACAATATTTAAATCCTTCAATTGCAGGACTAAATGACCCAAAAACTCGCCCAAAAATAAGATTGTCAGGTTTACTTGAAGGTATCAAATCCCAAAGAACTAGAGTGTCTATATTGTAATACACAACAATATTCAACCAATATGGGAGCTCTTCATACGATTTTTCTCAATCTCCAAAAACTTTATTAATTCTTTTCGCTTAGTTTGCTACACATGTCTATAGTTCACACAATATCCAAATTTCTTTTATGGTTTCTTGTAATGAAACTACTGACATACTAGAATCACGTCGTACAATATTTTGGATTTCATTGTACATAAAATTTGAGTCCAATTGTGAGTGATTCTAGGTGAGCTTTGCGATGAGTATGAATGAATCTCTTCAAGTACGTTGATTTCAAACATCCCATAGGATTTACGTCGATGAGCGTGAAACTTCCACTTGCAACTATCATTTCATTGTTGCATTTTACATACCACATATCTTGATTTGATTCTCTTACAACAAATTGATAATGTTGTGTTGTCACTAATACTCATTTTCAGCGACGCGCCTCAAATGTCGCTGAAAGCTAAAAGGACGTGTTATCAGCAATGTCCTTAGCGACGAATTGCCTTTTGTCGCTGAAGGTTTTAACGACATAATTGAGTTTTCAGCGACATTTCTTGCGCATCTCTAAAACTCCTTTTTCTTGTAGTGACAGTAGTTCTTCTTTGCTTGTAAACTTCGAACCTATACGTATATTATCTGGATTCATTTCTCAGACATTGACCATTCTTCCCACTTTCACCCTTCTTCATATAATGAATCAATAATCTCAAAATCTATTTATGTGGATGTATCAGAATGTGTCTCTTCATTTGGACGTAGAGGATAAAAATTTACTGGAGGGTTCAAACACAATTATATATTCCAAACAATTCATCAATTTCTACTTCTATATAAGAAGCAGACCCATTTTCAGGTTTAAGTATTACAATTTCATCACAAGCTAATGACATAAATGATCAACTTTCGAGGATTTTAAATCTTTAAGCATGCAATTGTACAAAATTATAACTATATTAACAAATTTTTTTTACACATATTAACGAATTATTTTTAATCAAACATAATCTATAACATAACCAATATCCAAATAACTAAACATAATGTATAATTAAACATAATCCATAACATAAAACAAAAAAAAAAATTAAACATAATCCATAAACTAAATCCAAAAAATTAAACATAATCCAAAATTAATCAATCTATATCCAAAACTAATTTAATATAATCTAAACTAGTTCCTAACATATTACAAAGATCTAAAACTATTTTAATATAATTTACATAATCCATAAACTAATTTAATATAATCTAAACTAGTTCCTAACATATTACAAAGATCTAAAACTATTTTAATATAATTTACATAATCCATAATGGTTCAAAATAAATATAAAAATATTAAACTAACAAAAAATACACCCACCTAAATCAAACAATATGTGTAAAGGAAACAAAGAGATATAAATAATTACACATAATTAAACGTAACAAATAACCCTAACCTAAATCTAAATAATTAAACATATTCCAAAACTAATCAAAATATTTCAAAAAGTGTAAAGGAAAGGGAAAAAAAGGGAAAAAAAAATATTGGCAGTAGTGGCAACAAGCGAGGCAGCGACAGACAACAACCAATGGTCAGAGTTTTAGCAGACAACAGCTATGGGTGGGGACCTATTTTGTTCTTATGTCCCCACGTAAAACCACTTCCTCATATGGAAATCGGATGCGACTCCCGTCACTCGAAACGTGGCTCCAAGCTAGGACAGCTAGAGCCACGTCACACAAAAGTCGTAGCCGACATCTGTGACTCGAGTGAAATCGGTTGCGATTTCATCCTAAAGCGCATTCAATAGCTGCAATTTTAGTTGAAATTGTAGCCATTACCCGCGATTTATTGGAAATCACAACCAATGACTACGACTTAGCTAACCTACTTTTGAAATTATTTTCAAACCTACATTATTTATGTCATTTATTCTTTAAAAAACATTATTAAAAAAATCTCATGTATTCATTTCTTATATATATATATATATGCCCTTAACCGCACCGTTTTACAGGAGGCCCCACCCAGCATCCTCCCGCTAATCCGTTTTCGGTAACAAAACTGACAATGGCTCTCTCCCACTCTTAAACCCTCGTCCGCCTTCTTCTTCTTCTCTCTCTCTTGTGGCTAAGAGAACCGCCGTGGGGAGCTGAATTCACAACCGCTGCAGCTCTGAAGAGATCCAAAGCCATGTTCATGGCTTCTACTTTTTCTCAGCTTCTGTTCATCCCCAGGTTCTTTATCAACTCCCGCTCAATTTCGTTAAATTCCCCCAAAACAAGCAAACACTGAAATAAGCCCAGATGCTAGTTTATGTACTTTGTAAGTTTACATGAACGAAAATGGGGGAAAAGTTGGAGTTTACATCTCAGCTTGGTTTCCTTTGTTTGCGCCTGTTTTGGATTTTGGAAATGTGGGAATGTAAGAAAATTTTTAATTCATGCCAACAACTTAAAACACCCGTTGGAAATTATCATAATTTGTTGTGTAATTGTGTTAGGGTGGTTCGATACAACTTTTGGAACAGTATTGGTTAGGCTTTAGTTCAGACTGCTTAGTAACATATCACTCTCATGTTTGGTTCTATATTTTTAAAAGTAATTTTGAAGTGTTTTTCGATCAATCACTTTTGAGTTAAGGGCACTCTACAACTACAAGTGCTTTCTCATCTATTTTATGGTGCTTTTGAATTTCTTAGAAGTGTTTTATTTTACTCTATACAATAATGGTTTTGAGTAGGAAGTGCTTTGAGAATGTAAGAAAATGTTAAATTTGTGGCAAGAGCTTAAACAGGTTACCTTGGGTTGAAAATTATCATACTTTGTTAGCATTAGGATGAATTTGTTATGAATTTTGGAGTAGAAAGTGTTTTCACAGGATTTCCATTATGTTTGATTACATAGAAAAAATCAGTAGCATCTTAAATGAAAAAGCATTTAATTAATGTTTCTTTTGAAAGTGCTTATCAAAAGTTTGTTTCACTTAAAAGTCGTCCCAAACTGACTCCGCATCTTTGATGATATAGGTGTGAGTCAAGTTGGTCGTTTCACTGCTACCCATCCCTCTGCTTAAATCAACATCTGGATCTTAGATTACACAATAAATGGGCTGTTACAGCTATATCTAAGAGGAATGTTTCAGAAAGTTTAGCTCAAGAGGGAGTCGATGACAAGGAGATTGCAAAGAAGAAGACTCCTAGAACTCCTAGACGCTCCACCAAAAGAACTAGGAAGAAAGCTTCAATAGATACACCGGACCCGAATGATGAATTATTATCTTCAACCAATGAGACTGAAGCTGAGGAAAACATTGTAAATGCATCTTCTGAGGATTCTAAGGCAACCTCGAGAAGGTCTCGAAGCAAAGGTATTCTATTCCCATGTAGTCTTTTATCTAAAATTTGTGCTCTCAATATGTGTCATTGAGCTTATTCACTCCTTTTATACCTTGTAAGTGCTGAACCGCTAATTGAATTCATAGCTGCATCTACTTCTACTAGCGTGGAGGAGGATGACAAGGCTGTGACGAAGGCAAGGCGAGGGAGGAAGCCAAAGAAGAAGGATAACAGTATGCAGCTTCAGTTTAGTGAGTCTGAAGTTAGTGATGCAGGAAATTCCTCGATCACTGGGAATGATGTTGATGAGAGTGACGAGGAATTGGATTTCAGTACAGATGAGGGAGATGATGTAAGTATCACATATGGTTGGCCTCCTCTTGTTTGTTGCTTTGGAGCAGCACAACATGCTTTTGTGCCATCCGGAAGGCCAGCTAACAGACTTCTTGATTATGAAATCCACGACAGAATGAAAGATGCATTCTGGGTCCCAGAAAAGTTTGTTAGAGCACCTGGAGGATCTGCAGGAAGTGTTGCAATGGCCCTTTCAAGCTTGGGTGGCAAAGTAGCTTTTATGGGAAAACTTGGGGATGATGAATATGGCCAGGCCATGCTGTACTATATGAATGTGAACAATGTCCAGACCCGATCCGTTCGAGTTGACAGTAAGCGGGCAACTGCTATGTCGCTGATGAAAATTGGGAAGAGGGGTCGCTTGAGAATGACTTGCATCAAACCTAGTGCAGAGGATTCTTTGTCGAAGTCAGAGATCAACATAGATGTGTTAAAGGAGGTAAAAGATGCAAAACTCTTTGTATTAAGAAGAATATACTAAACTGTTTACCTTTTTTTTCCATGAAAGCTATCAGATTTCAGAAAATGTAGAGATGACAAAGCTGTGGGTCCTGTGCAAATTGTATAGTTGTCCTTATAATTTAGTAGATCAGGTCATAGTCTACATTATTCTGTCTTAAGGTTCTGGTCAATAATCTGATTTGGTTTATTTAGAATATATTTCTCTCATACAACCCAGTAAAATATTACTTATCTAGTCACTCTCAACTGTCTCTGGAGCAGCTTAAAAAGAATATAAATGGAAAGACAAAATAACTACAACTGCTGAAGCTTTGTGGTTTTGCTTATTTAGGTGGTAGTGCCTTACATAGATGTAATTTAAGCTTTTTGAATATAAACTGATGTGATAGAATTTAGAGGGTTTGAATATTTAGTAGGTAAATACATCATGAACATACTGATAGTAGACTTAAATTTTTATTAATGGAAACAAATATTAAAAAAGGAGGGAGATAAGATAGGACTCAAGCCCAAGCCAGGGAATTACCACAAAACTTCTCTTGCTTTGATTTGGAGAATAGAGTTGTTACTAAGTTTCTATCTGAAGAAGACCAATATGAAGCTGTTATTGATTGATGAATGAAATATTACAAAAGGAGGGATAGATCCCGAGGTCCCAGAAATTAATCCATTTGACCAAAAGTATAGTAGGACTGTAATATGAGAAATTTTGCTTGCATTTACACAAGAAAAGAGCCATGAAGAGAACTGAATTAAAAACAGAGTCAACATTTTTTGGAGTTGCTGAAGATATGGTTCTTCCTCTCAAGCCAAGTATTCCAAAAGAAGGCCCTGGTTAAACCTTCCACTGTTTCTTTCCATCCAAAAATGCCCCAAGGTGACTTTGGAGATTAGTCATAAAATAGTAGCTTTAATCTTCAACTTTAAGCCAAAAAATTGCTGAGAAACTCTCTCCTCATCCTCTCTCTCTCTCTCTCTCTTATATATGCTAGAGTTCGTAACTGATATTGCTTGATTATAACTATATTCCACTTTGCATTTCACATCCTGTTTTGCAGGCTAAAATGTTTTACTTCAGTACCCATTCGCTCCTTGATCCAAATATGAGGTCAACTACAATGAAAGCCATCAAAATCTCCAGAAAGTTAGGAGGAGTTATTTTTTATGACTTGAACCTTCCTTTACCTCTCTGGCAGTCTCGGGACGAAACGAAAAAGTTCATAGAACAAGTTTGGAGTCTTGCAGATATTATTGAGGTCACAAAGCAAGAGCTTGAGTTCCTTTGTGGGATCCAGCCATCAGAGGAATTTGACACCAGAAACAATGATAGTTCAAAATTTGTCCACTATGAACCAGAAATTATTAAGCCACTTTGGCATGAGAATCTCAAGGTCTTGTTTGTAACTAATGGAACTTCTAAAATACACTACTACACAGAGGAGCATGATGGTGCTGTTCTTGGAATGGAGGATGCCCCAGTTACCCCTTTCACTAGTGATATGTCAGCATCGGGAGACGGCATTGTTGCAGGTAAACGTTAACATTAGACTAAATATATATTTTAATCTTTAATGTTGTTGTGGTTTTTCAATCTAGTCCATATTCCCTTTTATAAAGTTTCAATTTAGCTCTTTATGATTCAATATTTTTCGGTCATACCATTTTTCGTTGGTGAATGTTAAACTTGGCGGATGATAATATTGAATTGGTAGAAATTTAAAGAAGGAATTAGAACACCTAAGAGAGGAGAGGTAAAGTTGAAGTTTTTCTACCCATTTCTTAAAATTTTGGAGAAATAATTGACTTTCTTCCCTTTGGTGACTTAATTCTTCCTCGCCAATTTATGCTTTGTAGGGTTATTATCGATGAATTTTAACATTCAATAACGTAAAAGGTATTACTCAAAAATGTTAAAATTGGAGGAACTAAATTGAAACTTTTAAAACAGCTACGTTGAAAAAACACTCAAACATCATGGACTAAAATAAAAAATATATGAATGATGTAGCATACATTATATATACATTCGCATACATGTATGTACATGTGTAGATCGGTAAATTTCCTCACAGACGCATATGCATCTCTATATTTGATTATATTTTGGATTCTAGATCAATTCAAATGCATATAAGATGAACATCTTTAACAATTATTTACAATTTTGTACCTCCAATCTATAAAATAATGACTGTCTCTAACCCCCGGCCTGTGGACCATTGCAGCTCTAATGAGAATGTTGTCAGTTCAGCCCCATCTGATTACTGATAAGGGATACTTAGAGCACTCGATAAAGTATGCCATTGACTGTGGCGTTATCGACCAATGGTTACTCGGCCAAACACGTGGCTATCCTCCTAAAGACGACACAGAAGAAGTGACCCCTGACGAAAATGGCATCCGGTCTATAACAGAAGTGGAATTCCGCACGGTTGCATCTGTAAGTTAACTTCATTATTGCCATTGATGGGTGTAGATTATTTGTTGTATGCCTCAGAAAACAGGGGTTTCTGCTTCCTTGTCATCAACTGCTGTGAGAAAATGTCTTCTCTCTTTTGGCTTAAGTCTTAACTATGATGTAGTTTTAGGGTAATATAAATTTTGTATTCTACAAGGGTGTTCGCTAGACCAATTCTTTTAGCATGAAAAAAGATAGTATTGTTCCCTGTCTTAACAAGAGAGAAACTCTAACCCGAGTCGACTGCACTTTGTGTAATTTTGAATATGTGGCTAATCATACTCTCAATATGATAGTTTTACGTCTTAATGATAGTGAGATAAATTTCAACACTATGAGATTGACTGGAGACGAAAGCCTTTTTATATTGAGTCGTTGGAGGTATTAGCACTTACCACTCGTTTGTTTTATGAGAAGATATTGTTCTCATCGATAACTAGATTCGTCATGGTTTATTTTTGTGACTTGTAAGCATTCTTAAGACGAACACAATAAAATGTTTTTTTTTTAGATTCTCATTTTGTGAGAACAAGATTACTACGGACTCGTTTGGTAACGTTCCCGTTTCTCGTTTTCAATTTTCTTAAGAAATTTAAATATTTTATAACTGACTATGTTTCTTGCTTCTCATTTTTTTTTTTTTAACATTCTCAAAATTGTATAGAAATTTTGGAAACAATCGAAACAAGTTTTGTTCTCACTTCCAATTGATTCTAAAACATAAATAAAAATATTATTTTATGATACTTGAATTCTTGACTGATGGGGCTATACTTCATTTTTTTCATTAAAAAATGAGAAACATGAATGTTACTGAATGAGTCCTAGTTTTGTTTTTTTTCCAAATCCTTCTATATGTAATATGTTTACTTCTATATTTATATTTACTAGTTTTGTTTGTTGTTCCTTGTGAATCTCCAAGCAAGTTTGAAGATTTATTATTTTGTATTATAATGGAATAATTTAAATTAAAATTATTTCGGTTATCTTTTAAAGTTTTTAGTTATACCACCAACGTGTATTTTTTATTTTATTGGATTGGAACTTAAATTTGAATAAGGTGTGAAGTGTGAAATTAGACCTTAATTACTCACTAGGAATCGTAATGGAAATGAATCATCAATCGGAATGAGAATATTATTTCTTGGATGTTGTTTATCAGAATTTTTTTGGAATTGTAATCAGAAAATAATTACTAGCATACCTCTTTCTCTTTGTTAATTACGATTGTGTGAATCTTTTTTAATTACAATAATAATAAATTTAATTTAATTTATTATTATATTATTGATAGTAAATATTTTTTATTATAACAATTTATTTAATATTAATAAATAATGAATAATTAAAATAAAATTACATCAAATAAAATACTTTTTTATTAGATCAACCATAAATGATTCTACAACAAATTATGAAGGATGTGGCTTAGCGATTTTTATTCCTATTTTTTTTTCATCCATCTTTAAAAACTGAGATATATCAACGAGATAACATGTGGGATGGGATGAGTGTGGATCAAACTCACCATCGATTAGAAATATATACCTTAACAAGTTGAATTATACATTGACAACTAAAATAGAATTTAAATATATTTTGTTTACTTTTTATTCTTAGGAACGTTGGACGAGATGGAGAAGTAATTAGTTCCTATTCTCCCCAATAAATAAACCTAGTCTTGAGGTTCAAGAACACTTCTAAAAAAGCTCTAAATTATAATACATATTTTATACTTTATACATTAAAATAAAAGATAGATTTAATTCTCATTTGACTTTAGAATAATTTAATTCCTAATTTAAAAATATCTATTTTGATTTCTAATTTTTAAGTTTATTTTATTTTGATCCTTAAATTTTTAAAACATTTGTTTGAGTCCATAATCATGGAAATTAAATTTCCATGGATGATTATTGTATTTAAATTTGTCACTATTTATTTAGTTATCAAAATTTCATCAATTTTTCAATTTACTCCTCGTAATTTGTTACCCATTTATTCGAGCATCTTTTTATATTGAAATTATTTTTTTTTATATTCAAATTCGTATTCAATGCAGTTATATTTTAAGTTCAATAGAAAAAAAATGTAATTTTTTTACATAAAAAAGAGAAAGGTATTTACCAGTAAAACATAAATAATATTTGTTTTGAACATATAAGAAAGTAACATACTGTTAAAAATAATAATAATAACAATATATTAAGAAAAATCTAATAAAAGTGATTGTGTTCTCAAAATAATAATAATTATTATTATTATAATAAAATGATTTTAGACATTTAAGGATTTGTTGTAGAATCTACACATATCCATGAAAATAGAAAATTAAAAAAATGTCCATGACCTTTCTAAAATTACATTAATTTATTGTAATTTTTTATCTACTTATCATTCAAAATAATATTAAATATTTGCATATTTAATCCCGAATAAAATTTGAAGGATAAAATTATAGTTGAAGCCGAAAAAACACTTAGTGAAAAGATATACATTATTTAAATATTTGGTTTACTATCATTTTGTATTTTAGAAAATTTTGTTTACCATTATAATCTAAATTAAATAAATAATACAATTAAAATATATCTTGTAAAATTATGAGACATTATTTCATTTCCTATACTTTCTGGTCTGGCCGGCTAGTATTGTGTCGACAAATATTAGGTTACAAAATAATAACAATAAAATAATAACCTAACATTCATATACTAAAATGAAAATTTTGAAATTAAAAAAAAATCAAATAACTAAATTTTAAATTTCCAGAAACTCAAATAAACATTTTTTTTTATCTTAAGAATAAATAAAAAAAAGAATTAAACTTAAAAGTTGAACCTTACAAATGAGATTTTAACCTAAAATAAAAAATAAAAATCAATAGAATTATTATTTTATTACTTTTTTTTTGGGTGTTAGAGAAATAGGTATGCCAATTCTTAACTATTTTTACCCAATTATCACAAATTACAAAGAAAAAAAAATCCCAAAATTATTCAACCACATTTTTTAAAAAAAGTAATTAGATTTAGTTAAAAAAGTGAACTAATTCCTCATTTCTAAAGCTACCAATCCACAAACCATGGACAACCATAATAACACTAACAAACTGTTTTACATCCAAAAATAGACCAAGATTTTCCCTATAAATCTCTTCTCACTACCATCTTCTTCCTCAGACCTGCATTTCATTAGATCTACACACAAAACAAAATAAAAAAAAAAACCAAAAAAACAAATAAAGGACTTTTCCTTTTCTTTTTTTTCCTCATCTTCTCAAGCAGGTCTTTCTCTAAATTCTATTTTATTTTACCCCTCCTTTTTCACCATGGAAATGAAGAAGATCGCCTTGGCTGCCTTAGTTGCTGCTGCTGCCTCCCTGAGCATGGTTTTGGCCGCCAACGAAGTGGTGTCCCCGGCACCCGGTGCGGTTTTGGCTGCCAAAGAAGCCGGGTCCCCGGCACCCGGCCCGACCAGCGCAAGTTCCGCTACCTTGCCCGGCGTCGGGGCTTTGATAGGTGCATCTGCTGCCTCTCTTATTGCCTATTGCCTTCAGTAACTGAGTTCTTCAAGTAGGAAACAAACTTGAAGGAGGAAGGGAGCAAATAAATCAATGTGGTGATTCTTCTTCAAATGGGGTTTCTTCTTTTTGCATTTTTTTTCTTTTTGCCAATTTTGGATACATGATGTAATAAATTGACCCCTTACCTTTTTGCAAGGGAAAAAAAGGAAAAAAAGAAAAAAAAACCTTTGAATGAAATGAAATGATCATGCAATTGTCTTGTTTCTATTCCATTAAAGGCAAATGTTAAGTCAAACTTTCAACAAATAAAATACTTTCACATCCTTATCAAACAAAGAGCACCAGAAAGAAAATGATGCAAATAAATTTATTGTACAAATATGCAAACTTTCTCTCTTTTTTTTTCCTTTTTTCTTGAAAATCTTAGGATGCTAAGATCCCCCATTAGAGTTGTGCGACGACATGAGGCTCTTTGTCAACCAAATCGCAGTCTCTCTTGAAGAGACAGCTTCTTCCCCAAATGGACTCAGCACACCAGCAAGTTCTTCAAGTTTGTCCTGCTTTAGTAACTGGGCACATAGCTCGAGTAAGGACTCGAGAGCATCGGCTCTTCGCTGGCTTGGATATTCTGATTCGGAACTTTTCGAATCGTTTTCGCCAGCTGATGCTGTTAGTGTACTTAGTACTGATGCATCACTTGCTGCCCTGTTATGCAGATGAATGTCTTCATTCGCCATCGTTTGTGTCAATTTGACTTGATCATTTTTACCTGGAATCATATCATCTGTACTCTCAGACGAGATACAATCTGCGTGTGTTACTTTATCAGATGACAAGCAATCTGTCTGTGCACTTTCTTTCTCAGATGACATCCGTTCCAATTGAGTGGCTTCTTTCTCAGATGTTATACAGTCACTACGAACAACTTCTGGATGCCCCTTGAAGGTTTCCTTGTTTATGCTGCTTCTCGCCTCGATATTCAGTTGATCGACAGAGTTCGGTGAGCATTTATCATCAGATGATCCAGACGTTTCAGCACTTCCTACAGAGGACATCAATAATTGCATGAAGTTCCCTTCAATAGTTCCATCACTCTTCGCTTCAGTTTCATTAGAAATCTGTTTGTTGCAACTTCTTTTTGGGTTCTCCAGGTTTATGGTCTTAATGGCAACCTCTGGTAATTGTTGAAGGTTTTCTGACCGGGATTCTATCTGCAGAGAATTTGGACTATTTTCTGAGGTGATCTTGATGGCAGGCGCTTCCGTACACTGAATGCCGATTCTGCCATTCTGTTTATCACCATTGCAAATGGATGTCGCAGACGCAGACCTTGTTAGCACATCAGCCGGACTATCAACAGCATCAGATGTGGATATTTCATCAGGAAAGGATGTAGGATCAACCATCTTCGTCTCGAGTATGTCTTCTGAAATAGCTGTTAATATGTTTTCATCAGTCGATGAGTTGCTATTATGTATGTCAGCACTTATCCCCCCCAGATCAATATTTTCCAGCAGGTTGAAAGCTATGCTCGGTTTGGCCCGACTTTCATTGCTACTATTCAATTTGTTAGATGGTGATTTTCTTGGCGTTTTATCCTTAGAGTTGATGGGTAACGGATATATTGGTAGTATATTAGCCGAAGCATTACGGCATTGAAGGACATATGGTTGCAAATGTGGATGCCTCAACAATTCAGCAGCCTAATTAAATTAAGCCATATATTAGGAGGGATCTTAAAGTTCAAATTGGCTATCAAAAAATTAGGGATCGCCATTGCTCACCGTTGGTCTGTGTTCAGGATTCTTCCTTAGCATGCTCTTGATGATCTGTTTCCTGCAAGTAGGAAAAAAACGGTCTCAAGTCTAAGAACAACTGAAAATGAACTGTTTTTGGGTGGAAAAATCAATCAAAATGGGAATGGTTCGGAAGAATCGCTTACAGTGTTGAGGAATAGACAATTGGGAGAGGAGATATGGAGGATCTGTTGATTTTATTAATAAGACCAGCCATGTCCTGTTGAATTACATGTAAATCAATCCGGCATCTAGCAAAAAGAAGAGGAAACTCAAGAGGCGTGCCTTAAACTTACCGGAGCCCTAAACGCTGGTTGATGTGCAGCAATTTCAAACATACAGCATCCTGAAAAAGACAACAAGACTTATTACTATCCGAGAACATGAATATCGACTACGTAAATAGAACCGTTCCTCCAGAACTCTTACCAAGTGACCATATGTCAGACTTGTAGCCATAGGGTATATCCGCAAGAAGCTCAGGGCACATATAATTAGGAGTTCCAACAACCTACAAAACATACAATGGCACCCACAATCAGCCAGTCTGAGTAAGTGAAATTGAGTTATTACACAGTAACTATTAAATAATAGCCTATGCTCAATGATCTTTTTTTTAGATAAGAAACTAGTATACTCCAAAAGGAAGACAAAAGGAACAACCTAAGGGCTGGGTAGAGGAAACCCCACCCAAAAGAACTAAACAACCGTTTTTCAACTGTACAAAAGCATGGAAAGGTCCTAGTTACAAAAGAATTTGCTATAGTTGATGCACCACCAAGAGGCAGTGTGCTGTACATTTCTACAAAAAAGTCTCAAAAGAAGAAGAGTTATCTTCGAAGACCCGAAGGTTCCTTTCCAACCAAAGGTGTCAAAGGAGAGCTCTCGAAGCACATATTCACAAAAACTTAGTTTTTTTAGGAAGAGTCCAGCCATGCAGTGCCTCAGCCAACTGAACGTCTATACGATTAGGGAAACAAAAAGACAACCCGAAGAGATCCATGATAAAGAGCCACCCTCGAGCCGCAAACGTACAGTGAATGAAGATATGATCAATTGATTCAGTGTTGGCTATATATAAACTACAAACAGAGGGGGAGAGCACCAAATTGCTGCACTTCTTTTGAAGCTTCTCATGGGTGTTCAAGCTTTTGTGTGCTAAGGACCACAGGAACACCTTGACCTTTCTTGGAGAGGCAAACTTCCAAATAGCTTGAATGAGAGAAGATTTCAAAGGGGGAGTACATTCCACCATCTTCATACAAGCAGACCTAGTAGAAAACTTTCCACCATTGTCAATAGACCAGCCAACCCGATCTTCCCCTTCCCCTAGGCGCACTATGTCGATGGCTTGGATCAGACCCATCCAACTTTCTATTTCACAGTCAAAGAGGCCTCTTCTCAAGCCTAGATCCCAATCGTTCTCAGAATTATTCCAGCAATCCGCAATTGTAGCCCCCTTTTTTGTGGAGATGTTAAACAAGTTGGGGAAGGAGTTTTGGAGGGTGTTTTATGCTCAATGATCTTGTGATAGGACTATTGGAGAAAGGTTAATTAGTTATTAAATAGTAGGGTTCTTCGAGTAAAGAGGTTATGATTAAGAGGGATACATTAATAACAGTCGGTGAGTTTCTTAAAGTGAGTGTGGTAATAAATAGAGCAAGATGGTGGGTAGGAGGCAAGCAATTTTTCTCTTCTTCCGATTCTCTTCTTTTTAATCAGAGCATTGAGGGTCTCACTTCTTACATTATGTTCGTGCCCGTCTATAATATCTTTAGGAATGTTTAGCCCATTCTAATGGCCAACTCGAAGAGATATAAAGGGTTTTAAGTTATCAAACTTTCGACCTGGGAGCTTGAACTTAGGATCTTGGAGAGTATCTCTATAATATCTTAGGTGGTAGTTGCAGCCAATAGGCCACCTTTCCAATTTGTTCCCAACACCTTGAACGGTCCCAAAAAAAACGTGGGCAAGCTTTGCATTTTACCTAGCAGATACGGTCTTGTTGATATGGCCATAATTTAAGGAAAACCATATTATCATCCACTTGTTGGTATTTCACATCCCTCGTCATAATCTGTTGAGCATGCATCAGCGGAAATTTCAAATCAGGGCTTTATCCCTCTCCTGTAGAAGCTGGTCAACAGCTAAAATTGGGGTAGATATTTTGAAATCAAACTCCATAAACATCATGAGCCACCTTTGATGATCCATACCAACTAGGCATTATTCTAAAAGGTACTTTGAAATCCTCTGGTCGATTCTGATTAGGACTTTTCGGCCCAAGGGATATGGTCTATTCTTGCACAGCTAGCACAATAGCCATCAATTCCTTAGGAAAAGATTTATGTTGTGCTTTAAGCTGACAAAACATTGGCTAAAATAAGTTATTGGTCGCTAATGTTGCGTGAAAACTGCACTCAGTCCCATCTCAAAGCATATACTCCCAAAACGTTACTAGAAGAATCAGGTTGTGCAAGAATGGGTTCTATAGTCATTTGGTACGAATGTTATTACCGGAGGGATATGGCCTCCATTCTTGAGTGGCTGGCACAACAGCCATCAACTCCTCGGGAAAAGATTTCTGTTGCATGAAAATTGCATTCAGTCCCTATGTCAAAGCATATATTCCCACAACAACATTCTTAGAAGAATCAGGTAGTGCAAGAATGGATACTAACGTCATTTCCCAAGGGATATGGCCGCCATTCTTCTGCAGCTAGCACAATAGCCATCAACTCCTTGTTAGGAAAAGATTGCCGTTGTGCTTTAAGCTAACAAAACTTTGGCTAAAATAAGTTGATTCGCTAACAGTGCATGAAGCCTGCACTCAATCCCTATCTCAAGTATATACTCCCACAATAACGTTCTTAGAAGAATCAGGTACGACAGGAATTGGTACTAATGTCATTTCCATTTATAGTTTCACCCTTCCCTAGCAAAATCGGTCCTTGTCAAGCTATTCTGTGAATACCCTAGCTATTTGACCATATCCTTTCACGAACTTTTGGTAATAGGAACTTCTGATATCTGAAGCTCCATCAAACTTATCGATATTGGCAAGGTTAGCATGGGTTGTTTTTGCTAGGTCATGTTGAACCCCCTCCCGTAAAATAATGTGTCCCAAGTACTCCCACTTCCTCCGACCAAAATAACATTTCTAACCATTTACATACAAGTTGTGATGTTGAAAAGTTGCCAACACCATATCCAAGTGTACCAAACTTGTGTGGTAAATGACGAAGTTATCAAAGAAAACCGACACTAATGGTAAATAACAATGTGAGGATTCATTCATCAGCTTCCCAAACCTTCATGGGGCATGACAGCATAACCAAGAACTCATAGTGCCCCGCAGCTTTAGGGACATCCTCAAAGCAAACTCTTACCTAGTAGTATCTTGATTTTAGATCCAATTTAGAGAAATAATAATGTTAGTTCATCTATGATGGGGATGAGGAACTTATTTGGGACAATCTCCCTGTTCCACACTCTAGTATGCATAGAACCTCCACCTTCCATCTTTTTTTTTTTTTTGGTCTAGGCTTGAACAATCTATTTAATTTTTCTGAACTTGAGGATATTTGCAGAGGGTACACTAATCGAGGACAACCCCTTTCACAGTTTAATGGAGTGATCGTATTGTCGTGAAGGAGGAAGCCCAACTGGCATGGAGAATATGACCAAATACTTATTTTTTTAAAAACCCTACTATAGTTGGTGGTAGTGAATCTACCACCTGCGTAATGTCGTTGTCGTTACCCTAATATTAGGCTGGTCTTCTCCTTGATTGCGTCCATATTCCATGGCAAGTAACAACACTAGAGAGTAACATATCGAAGGGTCTCCTCACGAAACAATAATCCCCCTTTCCATCATAAACTACGGCATTGACCTCTTCCAATTGAGTGCATGTCAACCAAGGTGCCAATCACTGCATTCTGAGAATGATATCACAAATGCCCAGGTCTAATGAACTTATGGGTTGCCCAATAGTTGACCATTGCAACTATAGGCTTCTTCTGTAAAGTTCCCTTTGACCTTCAATGTATGAGTCGAATTGATCCCCACAATGGAGCTGAGTGATATTGTTCTTTCACTTCCTCCCTCATCTTTGGATTCTTCTTGAAATAGCAACATCTTCAATGCTTATTGCTTCATTCTAACATTTATGGCCAACCAGGTCCATTTCCTCAAACCTGAAATAATAGCAATTTCTTCCTTCATCATTGCAATTCAACATCCAACATATGTTTGAATGAGGAGTCCCCTCTGCCACTATTATTGGCTCAAAGTCCCATCTCATCACTTTTATCACTCTAGTTATTCTGTTTTGCAGGCTTGCTGTTTGTCTGAGTTAGAACAAAACCCAATGGTATGGCCTCTACTCTAGCCTAGAATGTCAATGAACCCGATTATAGAAATTGCTAATTTCCATTTGTCGCCTCCTTCAGCAATTGGTTCCTACCTTCCACCGACTAAGCCACCTCTGTGAGCAAGATGAAGCCCGTGAGATTTCATTTCAACACCTAAATCTATTCAGTTCTTAGCCTCCAAGATTGCATCAGACAAGTCCAATTAAGATGCAGCCAAGACTTAGAACTAGCACTCATACTTCTGAACTGTTCCTCCCTGATGGTGAGGCAGAAGCCTCTCACACAAAGAGCCCTCCTTCATTGATTGGAAATGACCCTACAGAGCTCATCTGAAGTCGACGCAAGACTTCCGAGGCTGCCTCCCTTGTGTCCACCAGTATCATATTGCTGCTTCCTTTTACATATTCATCACCACTGAATCTAACTTCTCAGCTTCCAATAAATTGTTGATCTCAAAATTGTGTTTTGCTTGCAAAGCCCAATGGTTGTGATTGCTTCTATCAAACATTGGTAAAGTCAAGCAACCATTTTAGCATACTTCCCCTCCTTGAGTATTCCACTAGATTCACCAATTCCTTCTTCTGCACACATGTCCACGGATGATTCCCTTTTTGTGGGTTTCCCTATGGAAGGGGATCAATCACCATTCTCCCCAGCTCTCGCTTCTTGCTTCTTCGAGAGTTGGTTCATACCTTCAACTAGCATAGCCAAACTCTTCTCTATTGACAGCATCTTCTACTTCCTCCACCATTGTTCCCAAGTATTGCTCGACAGCCTTGATTCGATAGTCCGTCTTATTCCCCTTCAGCATGTCCAAAAAAGTTCTCTAATACCAATTGAGCTTTGCAAGAATATGGCAATTATATTGATAGAGGAAAGGATTTACAGCTCACAGACATTACAGATATTTGAGAGGTTTGTATCTCTCACAACAAAATCGAGCTACTTTGCAACATCCATTTATATTAACAGTATTATAAAAGTCACTCATCTAAATAGCTAATATACTAAAGCATTACGTAATTAATCTATTGCTAAGACCCAAAAAGCTTCTTTCAAATATATGTGAAACGAGTTGAGGGCATCCCTCCTGTTATATCTCTTGTAAAGAGGCTTTGAAGCAAGGGCAAACATGAAATCAGAGCATGGCATGTTTGATCAGATTGGAATATTGTGAATCAATGGTGTTGAAAATGGATGATTGAGGTAAGCCGAACATGTCTAGGTGGAAATATCAAGGTTGTTTGAGTTTGAGGCATTGTTGGTTCAGAACTACATGATGGTCACAATGCAAGATTTGAAGAGAAAATTTGCAGGCGGTTGGAAGTTATGTGGCCAATATTCAGCTTGGTGGGATCAATTGGTCTGCGGTAGGAATGTGGCAAGGGAGGAAGAGAGGGAAGGGAACCTCCACCTTGTTTTCCTCTCGAAATTCTCGAGGAAGTAAAGCTCAATACCATGAATAAAACACATTGCAGGGGACAAGGCCCAGAAGAAAGAGTTCAGCCATAAACAACTAGCCATTTGGAAACCTCCGATCATAGTTTGGATTGTGAAAGTGACAAGTTCTAAGCGCTTGCTCAGGCCAGGTTTTAGCAGCATAAAAGTTAAATTGGTTTATTAAAGCTTTCTATCAAAAAAATCACAACAGACAATGATTGCATCCTTACAGACGAAGCAAGGTCTTCTGTATTCAGTAGTTTTGCAAGTCCAAAGTCCCCTGTACAGACATTCAAGATATTAGCTGCCTTTTAGAGGAAATAAAATAACAAGAAGAAAATGCGATCCCATAAAAATTGGAAGCATGCATACCAAGCCGTATATCATTGCCCTTTGTAAGAAAAATGTTGGAACACTGCAATTGAAGAAAAGTTGAAAAAAGAGACAAAAATCAGAATCATCAACAAAAATTTTATTGCAATTTTTAATGCCAAGATTGTGTAATAGATACCTTAAGATCTCTATGTAGGACTCGATTCGAGTGCAGATAGTCCACAGCTAGCAACAACTGTGCCAACCACTTGCAAAGTTTCTGAGGGATAAAAAGAAATGGCAGTTAAAACATAGATTCACTAGGAAAGCAATAATTGGTACTATTCTCGACTTACTTCCTCTGGAAAGTATGTTCCTCTGGCCTTCTTAATCAATTCAGACCTGCTCAATAGAAGAAAACAGGACACGCGATTAGCTCTCGAGTTTTCTTCTCATCTCTTTCCCCCTTTCTACAAATAAATATTAATAAATAAGATTAATGTTGACTTTTTGTCATCAAAGAATTACTCTGCTGCTTTATTTTTTATGTATGCCAACTGGAAGAGTTTTTAATCACCATTCATCAGTCTCTTTGGAGGATATCTAATCCCCATCACTTATGTCCATGCTGTTGATAGCAATAAAAATTGAGAGAGAGAGGGAGAATTTTGTAGCTTTGTTTTCTTTTTATTATTTATGCCAATTGGAAGGGTTTTTTACAAACACCACTCAGCAAAGTTTTAGTAGTAAATCAAATATATTGTCCAGGCCATATACTTCAAAAAAATAAGATGAGAAGATGATGGTAGAAGAAAGAATAAGAAACAAAACAAGGAAAAAAAAAAAAACAGGATTGCATTTGATAACTGTTTTTTTTTCCTTTCTTCTTCTGTTGAAAAATTATGTATACAAACAATTTTTGTAATCCATTTTTGTTTCTTATTCTCTAAAATTTTAGATTAACAGAAGTAAAATTTTATTAGTTTTTTATGTTCTATTTATTTTAATATTTATTATGTATTTTATAAGTCACGAATGATAAAATAATGTTTTATTTATGTCTTAGAAAAAATTGAAAATAGAAATAAGAACCAAGAGACTTGATTTTGTTGTTTCCAAAATTTCCATATAATTTGGAAACATTTCTTGAAAATAAGAAGCAGCAAGAATAGTTACTAACGTTTATGTTTCTCAAAAACTGAAAACAAAAAACAAGAAAAAAAAAATAAGAACATTACCAAACGGGCCTTACGTTTCTTGTTCCTTTTTCCATTTTTTTTAAAAACATAATAAAAGCATTATTTTATCATTCTAGATTTATAAAGTGGAAAATAAAGATTTAAAAATTAAATGGAAAATAAATATTTAAAAAGTAAATGAAATGTAAAAATTTTGAATATTTAATTAAAAAAATTAATTTTTTTTAATTTAAAATTATAAAGAACTCTAAAAATAAATTGTTTCCAAACATTTTTTTTTTTCAATAAAAAAAGAAAGAATAAGAAACAAGAAGCAGCTACCAAATGTAGTTCCATTTTCATTAAACACAAGAAACAAAAAATGAAAAATGAGAAATAAGAGACAGGAACGTCGTCAAACCTGCCTTAAAAGTTAGAACCCAAGGATTCTGTAGTTGGTAAAATAAATTGAACGGTTACTAGCAAAAGACCACATAAACATTGATAATAAGGTTGCAGATTTTCCATTCAATATAAAATTTAATGGAAAATTATAATAAATGGCAAAAATAGTTGCCATTTATAAGTACATCACTGATGCACCATTTCCATATCATTAGTAAAGTCATTGATATATAATTTCTCTATCATTGATGAAGTACATCACTAATAATACCTAAGTACATCACTGATATACGTAGACCATTGATTTTGAGTTCTTACATTGGTATTATTTTTGTAAATATCATGTGTCAAATTTACAAATATTTAGGCTAAATCTACTATTATCGCTCCAAATTTAATCATGTGATATGCCCAAAAAAAAAACTTGGTGTAAAAATTAAATAACTATCACTTACATGTCTCCTCCTTCGCAGTAGCCAGTAACGATGCATATACAATCACCCTACAAAACAGAGTGTCCAAAATATAAAATGTAGACCAAGCGAAACAGAGAAGAAAGACATCACCAAAGCTATAACCACATATAAATAACTGATTACATACACCCTTCCAAGTTGAGAATCCACTTTCCTCATTGGATCACTCAAAGAAACCAACAATTCATTTCCTCTTAAAGAAAGACAGTATTCCGTATCCATAATCATCCTTAAAATTCAGATGTAACTTTTGTAGTAAATAGTCCTTTCTTTAATGTCACCGATTTGACAATCTAAAATATAGTGAACTACAATCTTTCAAGGAGGAGAATCAAGATTATTCAAAACCAAATCCTTCGGTTAGTCATAACCAGAAAAGGGGGAAAACTATAAAAACATAGGTGATGGAAAATTAAATAGAAGTATAAAAGTTTCCAACCTCACGCACTGTTCATTTCATATCAATAAGGAGAACGAGATGAAAAGAATAAAAGTAAAAAAGAAGAAGAAGAATTGTAAAAAAAAAAAACAGATTTAATCCAAATTAAAGTAGGAGGGGAAAGAACAACAGCTTTACCTTATCCACCCATGAATCTTTGTACTCCACAATATATGGGTTATTTAGTTTTGCAATCAAGTTCATCTGAAATTGAGATGGACGCATCAGTAAAAAAATCACTGTGACTAACAAGAATATTTACACGTAAACTAAGTGAAGTCCTTTACGGGTGTTTGTCAAAAGGAAGAGCAAAGATGCCATGGAGATGTGCTGTGAGAGTTTTTTCCGTGGAATCTTTGGAGAGAAAGAAACAGTAGAGTTTTCTAAGGATCTTCATCAAGCATATAATCTTTTATTAATGGTGTACAGATTACGACATCTCTTTGGTGCCACAAAGAATTTTTTTGTAATTCAGCTTATCATCGATCCTTCAAGATTGGAAGGCGATAATGCATTAAAGTTCTTGGGAGGGGGCTCTCTTTACCCCTGCCCTCAGGCTATTTTGGTCTTTTTCTTGTGTTAATATATTCGTCTCTTATCCAAAAAAGAAAAAAAAAATTCAAACTGTCAAATCAAGCTCATGCCTAGATGAAACAAGGTTCCATTTTTTCGGCGTTAGAGCCAGCTGAAAGCTCACAATGACTCAATTTATAATGAACACATGGAGTCATATCATGGGGTCATAAAAATTGTTCACCCTCATTCCTTGACTTAAATTTTCTCTCTTTTCTCTCTTTTCTACGAAATTTGTTGTGTCAAGACTAAGCATTGTCCTCGAGTGTGAGGCGAGGCAGTAAACACTAAACGGTCCCTCTACTATTTAACTATTCATTTGTAGTTGGTGAACAATGAAAGGCAAAACAGAGTCAATTTTATCAGATATTAGAAAAACTCAATAACAATGACCCATAATTTTAGCATTTTGATAGTTGTTAAAGGTTCTTAGTAAACAAACCTCCTGGTGGGCAGTACGCTTGAACTTCTCCGTCTGCTTAGCCAAGCGAATTTTCTTGAGTACATACCTATTTCAGAAAGAATGTAAACGTTAATAGAAGCACTAATTTACCGGACATCTATCGGTTCCACAAGACCGACCATTTGATTCATTTCTACACCAAGGCAAGAAAGAATGTATAAATCTTGAAGTCCTCTTTTCAGTTCTGAAGATTGTAGTTCCATTAACGACAGAGAACAGTGGAAAACTAACCATGATATCTCAATTCGATAGGCAACTCAACTTAGCATCAATGTTTTTCACAACAATTACATGGAAGTATGAACAGGAGTTGGAAAGTTTTTCTTACTTCTTCTTCTCAGTCTTGTGGAAAACAAGAAAAGCCGATCCAAATGCCCCTCTTCCAATCTGCTCAATAACTTCATAATCTTCCATCCTGGTCTTCATATCTCCATTATCACTCTCCATGTCGACCTTCAAACCCCAAAAGACACAGTTTAAGGCCAGAAACCCCTCTGGGGCAGAGCCAAAATTTAAAACCAACTGAAATTGGAACCATTTTTGCACAACTCTCACATGGCCTAAATTCTACAGCAACTCTGGAAAGTCTTATTATGGAGTGAAAAATTTACCCCAAAAACAATGACCCCCCCCTTTCAATAGTGAATAGAAGTTCCAAAATCTACAGAGACATGATAACTTCCAGAACTCAAGAGAAAAGCAAAGGCAGAGTACTAAATAGCATAATAATTAAAGCGAAATGATAACTTCCCAAAACAAGAGAGAGAGAGAAAAAAAAAGAACATAAGCGAACAAAAGAAGCATCAACCATAAACAAAGCTTCTTAATCAATAGAGAGAGAAGAAGAAAAAGTAAAGTGGGGAAGTTAGGAAGATGAAAGAGAAAGGCAAACCCAAAAGCTTTGCTTGCATTTGCAGATTCATAAGAGCTTCAAATTCAGAAGAGGGGAATGTTTTTACAACGAGGCAGTTGTGATGTCAATTACAAGCCCCACTTGGGAAGAAAAAAAACACAAAAACAAACAAAATCTCACCCTTTTGGAAGAAATTGGCGATGACCCAAAATTCCCAGAATGATTTTTTTCAACTTTTTTTCTCTCCCCCTTTTCTTTTTCTCGCTGCTGCAGCTTAGTAACAGATGCGTAGTTAGTAAGGTTGGGAAGAAGAAGAAGGAGCCGTTTTTCTCTCTCCTCTTTCTTACCAACGTTTTGATTTTGCCACGAGAATTAATAAATCTGGTTTTAGTCTCTCTCTAGTCTCTTCTTGCATTGAAATTGGTAATTCTTTTGGAAATCAACTTCCAAAAAAGAAAAAAAGAAATGGGCTTTGCAGTTTTTTTTTTTAATTGTTACTTAAATAGTTGTTTTCTTTTGATTAACTGTTGATTTCAGTTTTTGGTTGTGAATTATTAGGCTGACATTGGGTAAAAAAATGTTCTTTAATGTTGAAGTACTTTCATTTTCTAGTATTTTTTTTAGCACATGTGTAGATTTAAATATTATCGTGTTAGTTTCTTTTGGAGGTACATGTCAATTACTGCTGAGCTATACTCGTTCTGACAGATAAGATTTTATTATTATTGTTTTGTCTAGCATGTATATATATTAACTTAAAAAGATATCAATGATATAAATAAAAGTTACTCAATAAAAAAACATCGGAATTTCGTCAAAGATTTTTACTCGAGTAGAATCAATTGTTGGATATCTTATTTGACTCTCAATTTTAAAAATTTTAGATTTCTTATTATTAGTTGTTTTGTGTAACATGTATTTAGCCATTATGGTTAATTTATAAGTAGTAAGAATTATTGTGCAATATAAAAAGTGATTTCATAACACCAAATCTTTTTTTTCTTTTTTCTCCCTCGAGTACAACAATTTGAGGATATAAAGATCAAACCTCTAATCTTAAGAGAATGAGTGCATGTCAATTACCACTACTCGGTAGTCTCATATAATTAAGCAATATTCAACTTATTTTTAATTTGGGGTTACATAAATTTAACCCACCTATAATTCAAAAAACTCATAATCAGACAAGTTGGTATGATTTTTGCATTAAAAACCCAACCACATAGTTCATTTGTACAAAAGGAAAAAAAGAAGGGCCAACTTATTGTTGCTTTTATTTAAGAAAAGGAAAAATTAATTAATTATTAGTTAATAAATAAAAGAGATTCCTAAAAAGGATTAAATTAAGAAATAGCTTTCATTCGTGCAAGCCAGTAAGCATGAGATTGTCGGCACAATTTTAAATAAAGAGAAAAGGAAGGGCCCATGGAGAAATTTAAATTTTGCTTTTATTTTGGCCTTGTTTTTGTGTCTTAATAAAGGAAATAAGAAAGTTTTGCGTTTTAAATAGGGGCACTTGCAAAATTAGCAAAAGAAAAAAAATATAAAAATACAAAAATAATAGTTATCACGATTTGCAAAATAGCAAATTGGAAGTTCGAATTGGGATGCCTGTATCTGACATGTCACTTGCTTGGTAGGATCAGTAAGCAGAAATGAAAAGTTCAATACCCTTTAAACTCCCGGGCAAACAAAGTGAGGTTCCATCCAACGAAATATTTATTATGAGTATTGATACACCAACGATATACTTAATATGAATTTTGATTACTTCATTTTTATTTGTCTCGTTGAATTGTGTTGTTATTTACAGATTTTAGATGAAATGTATGTCTTTTATAATATAAATGTTTGCCTTCTATATCTAATATGAATGTTGATATATCACTGATATATTGAATGTCACAAATTTTGATTGTTACCATCAAACTTTGAGGCAGTCAATAGTGTTTTAACATATTTACACTTCAAAAATGTCTCATTCAACAGAGATATTTGGTCTACAATACTCCAACTTTCAATAGATGAATGAGAAACAATACTTAAAATGTCCATTTGCGGCAATTTCATATATAGTGGATGTACCTAAAAAATAGCTACTATTAGTAGGATGAGCAAACATACCCCAAAAACCAAGTCAACCGACCAAAACTGACCATACTGAGGTGGTCGGTCAGTTTCAAGTAGGGTTCGGGTGGTCAGTTTTGAAATTTTATAACCGACCAATCCATTAGTTTTTCAATGAGATATGCTCAATTTTTTAAAAACTTGTTATTCTAAAATTTTGGGGGTCATGTATTGATGCTCGGTGTTATGCCATAGGTTTTTGTATTTTCTTGGGTGACTATATGGTGTCTTGGAAAGCCAAGAAACAAACTACTATCTCTCGTTATTCAGTTGAGGCTGAGTATCAAGCTTTAGCTACTACGACTTGTGATATATTATATGGTTAACCAATCTTTTACGAGTTACATGTTGCTTTTGTACCTTTGGCTTTACTTTTTTGTGATAATAAGGTTGCTAGTCATATCGCCTCAAATCCTAGATTTCATGAACAAACAAAACACATCGGATTTGACTGTCATGCATTTCGTTCGTGAAAAGGTTCTCACTGGTTTTGTTCGTTTCATGCCTTTTTGGTCTCACTTTCAGCTGGTTGATGCATTCACACCAACCCTCTTCCTTCCGTTGAACTTAATTCTTTTATGTCCAAGATGAGTTTACTTGATATTCATGCTCCATCTTGAACGAGAGTATTAGAGTATATATTAGTTTAGTTATTTCAGTTGGTTGCTTAGTATTATACAATTAGTCACATTGTATTTGTAACATTTGATTTATTTACATGTTGAGGTGTAATCATTTGGTAGTTGAATAAAAAATACATATTTTTTAAAATTTTAAAATATCTAAGTTTTTTTTTTAATAAAAACAAAGATGCTAGGACATTAATAAATATAGACTTTTAGTATTTACGTGTTTTAACCTTAATTTCAAGTTAGTTTATGTGCCTTTAGGGTCATTTGAAATGATCGAAACTCTGATATACACAAAAAAATATCTCTCAAAAATCAAATTTTAAATGTGATTGGATCAGAGCATATACGACAAATTCAAGCAAGCAAATGTTTCATCATCTATACCTCGTTGTGCAGGGACTTCGTGAACTCGGACCAGTCATTATTGGCACCCACCTACTTTGGATAGAGATTTGAGCCTCTTTATTTGTTATCACTATCACATTTGTAAAAGACGTTATATGCGATTTTGGAGGACCTCCTACTTGCTCAATCTATAAATTGTAGTTCAAAATTACCCTATTTGGATTATGGTAATCTTAGAATAATCAGTCATCCAAAGATGCCAGGACATCTCAAAGACCTAATATGAAGCTATCTTAATTCTTGTTTAAAAGATGAGTTTGTGGGATCCCTTTTTATGGGACATCCATAAAATTACTTGATTTACCCTTAACCGCTAACAACCTTTCTTTTTCTCCGGATTGTCTCACTCTTCTCTAGAATATACTTTGTGCCCTCCCTTTACTTCCACAGTTATTTTAACATTCCTTTTATTAGTCTTTTCTCCATTTTAGTTGAAGTATTCTAAAAAAAAATTGATTACTTAATTATCCTCCACGTTACTATTAAATTTCACTTATTTTTATTTGACAATTACATTTTATTACAAAGCGAAAAATTTTAAATAATACTTGTTTAAAAACTGTTAACTTCATAAATTAAAAAGAATATATAAAATACAATTAAATAATTATACAAAATTATAACGTCTCTTACAAATGTGATAGTGATAACAAAAAAGTAAATAAAAATGGTAAAAATAAAATGAACGACTATATAAAACGAAAAAAAAAACAGCTAGAAATAGATACCAAGAATAAAAAAAAATTAGATTTTTCTTAGATCATTTGGAAAAAAAACTAGAGAAAAAATTGTCGATATATGAATTAATTTTTATTACATGTAATTTTAATTAAATTGATTTATTTATTTAAAATCAAAATTAAAATTAATTAATTTCTTCATTTATTTGATATATTTAATTGAAAAAATTAATACATTTTAGAAGAGAGAATAAGATAAAATATACGATGTAGCAACTTGAGGAGTAGGGATAAAGTACTGTAGCAACTCAGGGGTGGAATAATATTTATTGTAGAAAATCCGGGTTTATAAAACTGTAACAACCCGTATTTTAGAATATGGTCATTCTAACAATAATGCGGAAGTGTAAACAAATAACCACTATATTAAAGGAAAAACTTCTTTATTTAATTTGATACTATGACAAAAGATAAAGACAAGTCCAACATTGAAAAAGAAACCTATACTATAATGAAGACAAAGAATATCTAGCAGAATTAACTAAGTTCTCATAGGCTAAAACAAATGGAAAATACTAAAGATTCCAACCCCTCATACCAGAACGCGATTCCTCAATCACTATCTGAGCAGTCATTTGAACCTTCATCTGAAAACATTTAGAAAACATAGAATTGAGAACAAAGTACCCAATAAGCAATTTCCATATCAAACATTGAAGTTCTTTTTTCCTTTTGAAACATTTGTAACAAAAATACCAACCGATCAAAACTTTCAAAAATTCATTCTAAAACATTTGGTACAACTTTCAAACTTTCGAATAAACTAAATCATTCAAACATTTAAAACAATGTTACATTCATTCATACTTTCAAAATTAGAGTGAGAGGTTGCATTATTTGGGTAGCCTACAAATATGTGGTTACCCGTCGGTAACACCAATCAATCAGAAACTTCTATAAGAGTTGTCGAATTTATATAGAACAGAACAAAGTTGCCGAAATAATATCGACAAGAACAAACAGAATGGTTACTTAAGTGTAAGGCCATGTGAGTAAATAACATGAATCTTCATTCACAAGGAATGTCAAACCACAAAAGTGTCTTCCCACA